GACGCTGCAGTTTGCTGGGATTGCCTGATGGAGCAGGACCTTTACAGAATCCACTGCAGACCGGTGCCTGTGCCATCCACGTTTCCTGATACAGCTCCTTATTTCCATTTTCTTTGACATGAGTGAGTCCTGTGTGGTTGGCATTGGATCTATGGAGGTGGACGGTCAAGATAAGCCCTTGCTTAGATGATAAGCACGAGGAAAGAAAAGTGTTTTGGTCAGAGTAGATTGCCGTGAAACAGAAATGAAGATGTTACACTCAGCTTGTTGTTCACTGACTCAGTTATAGGTTCGAGGTTGTTCCTTCTGATTTTGATTTTTTTTTTTCTGAGAAAGATTCACCCTGAGCTAACATCTGTTACCAGTTTTCTTCTTTTTGTATGTGAGTCGCTACCACAGCATGGCCACTAACAAGTGGTGTAGGTCTGCGCCCAGGAACCAAACCCAGGCCGCTGAAGCGGAGCATCCTGAACTTAACCACTAGGCCACGGGGCTGAAAGCTGCAATGAACAGTGGCTTTTTCAAAACAGCAACAATGGCTATGGCATGTGCACACCTTCAATTCCAAAGCACATCTTTTATCTCTTCTATGAAACAGCCTGTGCCTTATGTCAGCCCAGAAAGAGCAGGAATCTGGTATTGTTTATGTGGGATTGCTCATAAGCAATCCCCCTTTGGCTCCTGTCATCTGTAGGAAAGAGTGACTGTTCTGTGCTTGTCTATTTTTAAGCGTATTTTTGTTTACAAGGAAGTGAGAAATATTTTTCCAACTTCATTGCTGGAAGTTATTTTTTAAAGCAAGTGTTCAGTCTCTGAACATTTGGGAGGGCTGCTGCATGGGGCCTGATGGACTCTGGGGACACAGAGGTGGGAAGTGCATTCTCCCCAGGGACTCAAGTCTGGAGGAGTGAGAGGGAAGCAGCCACCAATGTAGGCATTCACCTGCATTTCCTTCTACAGGAAGCTGTTTCAAAATCAGGTTTGGTTATTATTCTGGTGTGCTGAAGTCAATAGACCAGGAGACAATTATCATTGACAAGGTAGTTCCCCAAGAGGAGGGGGTGTGCCATGCCCTGCGGGGCTACACAGGGAAGCAGCAGGTGGTCAGGAGGCGGAGGGAGGGGAACCGTGGGCAGAGCAGGAGAGGCGGGGCCAGCAAGTTTAGGACTGGCTAGTGTGGATGATTCAGGCAGGCTCTGGGCCAAGGGGTTATTGCTGATTGTCTGATGCCTGACTCGGGGGTAATTAGGGTGGCAGATGGTGGCCCAGAGTGTGAGTGCCTCATAGAGGACAGGGTTGGAGTTGGGCTCTGGACTGGTTGGTGGGCATTTGAAAAGCAGTGTTTGCTGACTCTGGGACATGAGTAGCTCTAGTAGGGGCAGTCCCTCCCGGATCAGCGAGGCCCCAGATGTCGGAGCATCAGAAACACATGGTTAATACACAAGGCAAGGCCAGGGTGGTATAGTGACGTCCTCACTCTGTGGCTTCAGTGCTGCCCCCAAGGGGCCCTGCTGCTCCTGCAGGAGAACACGTCAGTGCAGGCGACAGCTCCAGTCCTGACCACAGAGGTCGGCTGCATACGCCACATTTAGTGTACACCCCACTTCGGAGGACACCACCGACTATCGACTATCATGCCAGCTTCAGGTCAGGCTGTGTTTCAGAAACAACTGTAGTGGAGACTGTTAAGAATTTTAAATCCAGAAGGGGTCTCTGTGGTCAACAGGAAGTCTGATGGAATACGTCCTCCAATAGTAAAATCAGAAAATTATTGCAGTGACTCTTCCTTGGCAAGAGAGAGACTGTGGGGAGAAGGTGGGCATGGCAGAGAATGTTCAGGAATGGAAACAGAGCACTTTAACGTTTCCTTATGTCAATGTGGCAAGACTGCCCCTGAAAAAGATGAGCTTCAGTTAGTAGGTAAAAGTGGACATTTTCTTTCACTCAAAGAGCTCATAATAGGCTCTAATTGCTTATCTTTGAAAAATCGGTAAGGTCTGGGTAACCCAAAACACTGTCTTCTGTCATGCTTTTGCAGTGTGTACAAAGCTCGTTTTGACCAGGTGACGCTGCCTGCTGTGTCAGTCAGCGCTGACTGGGAAGTAGAGCCCTGGCTGTGTGGGGACCCGTGGCAGAGTGGAGGGTGATCTCAGGTCAGCGGTGAGCTTGGGAAAGCTGTGTGGAAGGAGCCTGGTTAGTGCCATCGGCGTTCCCTGGGTCCTCTTAGTGCAGCGTGGGGTGGCCTTGGAGTTGCCCCAGAGAGCGTATTCCTTCTGTGTGCTGTGTATCAACAGGGAGTGCTGGCGGCAAGTGCCTGGTACTGTGGTTGTTGGTGTCTGGAACTTTCTCTCACCTGCTGGTGGGGACGAGAGGGAGAAAAGCTGCTGGGAATTGTGTTTGTGGCTCTAGTTCAGCAACAAAAGAGGGAAAGTTGAAAAAACATAAAAAGCCTAAATTTCTTAATTTGTAAGAAGCAGACACTAATCCCCACCCTGCTTGGTTTAGAGGATTGCTGCGTAAGGCTGCAGGAGTGTCGGCCCGAAGTCCCCGTTCTGGTGTCGTGGGGCAGGCAGGGCACGAGACCAGCCGTCCTGCGTAGAGCTGCGCCGAGGGTCAGAGTCTCAGCATTGCAGACTGAAGGAAAGGAAGTCCAGGCTCCCTCCTACTTCAGAGATGGGACTGCATCACATTGATCACTGTTCTTGAGGGCGATTTACATATAGGGAGATGTACGGATCCTAAGTGTACAAATTAGTGAGTTTTGACATGTGCACACATGCAACTCACACCCCACCAGTACTCAGACTACCCCACTCGGTCCCACACCCGCTGTCACTGCTCTGACTGCCCTCCCCAGAGAGGCTGCGCCTGGTTCGCCCTCGGCTTCCTATCAATAGAATCATGTGTATTCTTTAGTGCCTGACTTCTTTACCCAGCATAATCCTTCGTGGGTTCGCCCCTATTTTTGCGTGTATTGGTAGCTCATTATTGCTTATGTGGATGAACAACAGATTGTTCATCCTTTCTCCTGTTGGTGGACATTTGGACTTTTAGAGTGTTTTTGTTTACTATGCATGTTCGTATAGAAATCTTTTGTAGACATAGGTTTTCATTTCTCCAAGGTCAACATCAAAGAGCCCGCTTTCTGGGTAACATGGAAGGTGCATATTCACCTTTATAAGGAATTGCCTGTTTTCCCAAGAGTTGTAAAATTTTACATCCCCACCAGAAGTGTATGAAAGTCTCTGTTGTTCCATATCCTCTCCAGAATTTGTTCTCAGTCTTTTTAATGTAGTCATTTTAGTGGGCATGAAATATGCCTAAGGTAGTTTTAATTAGCCTTTCAATGATTACTAATGATATTGAGCATTTTTTCATGTGCTTATTGGCCATTTGTATATTTTCTTTAATGAAGTTTCTGTTGAACTATTTTGCCTGTTTTTATTGGAGTGTTTTCCTTTTTATTGTTGATTATTGTTGTCGGAGTTTATACCTATATATTCTGGATAAAAGTCTTATGTCAGAGGTTTTTGTTCTATCGCCTTTTAAAAAAATACTTATCTTTCTCCATTGAAATGCATTTGAGTTGAGGGCCTTTGTCGAAAGTAGTCTACTTAGAATTATTATCTTAGTACCCCATGTAAAACGTGGATAAACCCTACAATGGCGTGATCCCACTTGCAACGCTGTCCTCTGTGTCATGTAGCTTACATCTACATGTATTTTATAAACCCTACATTAAATGTTATTAATTTTTCCTCTCTAACAATCAGTTGTCTTTTAGAGGAGCTATGAGGAGAAAAATGATGGTCTTTTCCATGTACTCACGTATTTACCCTTCCAGGAGCTTCTCAACACTTCCTGTAGCTCTGGGGTTCCATCTGCTCTCGTTTCTCCTAGTGTTTCTTGTAGCCTAGGTCTGCTGGTGACGGATTGTCTTAGCTCTTTTTCTATAATATGAAAACGTCTTTCACTCTCATCTTTGAAAGATATCTTCACTGGATACAGACTTCTGAATTATATGTTTTTTCTTTTTTTCCCCCCCTTTTTCTGGGAGGGGTGAGGAGGATTAGTTCTGAGCCAACACCTGTTGCCAGTCTTCCTCTATTTTGTATGTGGGATGCCACCAAAGCATGGCTTGTTGAGGGGTCTCTAAGTCCATGCCTGGGATCCGAACCTGCAAACCCTGGGCCGCCAAAGCTGAGTGCACAAACTTAACCACTATCCCACCAGGTGGTCTCCGTTTTTTCTTTTAACACTTCAAATATGTCATTTGTATGTATACTATCAAATGTATAGTTACATATATTATATCAAATATGTTATTTTTACAAGACGTTCGTTATATCTCGTGACCTCCATTTTTTAAGAAGTCAGCCACTACCTGTATCATTTCACACTACATGTGATGTGTCTTTTACCTCTGGCTGCTTTTAAGATACCTTCTCTACCTCTGGTTTTCTATGAACTGAAGGAATTTGACTATGAGATGCCATTGTGTGGTTCTCTTCGTATTTATTCTTCTTGGGGTTTACTGAGTGCCATCAATCCCTAAGTTAATGCTCTTCACCAATTTTGGGAAACTTGTGGAGGTTTTTTTTTTTCAGTTTTTCACTCTGATTCTTTCTCCTTTCCTTCTTGGACTCCAATTACAGTATGTCATGCCTGATGCCGTCCCACACCTTACTGAAGTTCTGTTCAGCCTTCTTCAATCTTTTTCACTCTGTTCTTCAGATAATAATAATTTCTATTATCTGTCTTCATAGTTCTCCTTTATCCAATGTGCTGTTAAGGCCATCCAGTAAGTTTTAAATTTAAAATTCTGTACTCTTCAGTTATAGAATTTTCATTTGGTTCTTTTTTTTATTCCCATTTCTCTGCTCACTTTGCTGATGTTGCCCATTATGCCTGTATTTGTGTAGCTCCTTTAAGGTCCTTCTCTCCTCATGCCGATGTTGACTACTTTTCTCTTTATTCAATCTGCGTTTGTTTCCCTCTAGAAGCACTAATTCAGAGCCTCCTGAAGGACCTGAGGAGGCATCAGGTTGACATGGCGAGTCTGAGCCCCCTGGACCCCGAGGAGATGGCCCGTGTGATTGCTAATGCCATGCAAGGTGTGGGTACAGAAGGGGAGCGGGAAGAGGCCGGGATGGGAGTCGGAGGAGAACCGGGAGAGCAGGTGGACAGCCCCGAGGCAGGGCTCCACGAAGCCCGCAAGGTCGGAGATGTGCGAGGTGAGCCTCCCAGCTCCTGGGCCCCTGTGTTTGTGGTAGATGTCGGGGGAGGCCGCAGGTCTGCGGAGAGATGGCCCACTTTCCAGGCTGAAATGTGTTCTTTCCGCTGGGGAGGTGGGATTTCTATTAATGATTTTTATCTGTTTGAACTTTTGCCTCTAAAAGCTTTCTTAACAGGCAAGCCTACCAGAGCAATTATGTTGAAAGGCAAATTGCTCTCTGTGAGATGTAATTCCTGTGTGCTGAGGTTCAGAGTTAGAAAAAGATGGGAGTGATAGAGTTTTTGTTTGGATTGTGCTGGTGAATATAGTCAAATATTTGAATCATAAAGTAAAAGGGGTTTATTTGAATGCCTGCTTGAGGCTCCCATTCACCCTCTGAGGCTGCTCCAGGGAGAGAGCAGAGATCCCCCACAACACATGCACACACACACACACACACACACACACACACACGCACGCACATGCATGCATGTGCCCACGCAACACACATGCAGCAGCCGGAACCCTTGAGCAGAGGGCCGAGCAGGACAGCTCGATCTCCCCCAACGACTGCCTTCGCCAGGCCTGATGACTTTGCAGAGCCCCTGGAGCTACATTAAAGCATCTAGCTCAGTGCTGCACACAGAGGGCACACAGACAACACACCGGGAAGACACCTGTCTCCTTCCTCTGTGGACGGGACAAAGGTTAGCTTGGAAGCTAGAAGCATGGCTTGATGTATAGGATGCAGGAAAAGATGCTGAAACTCCACCAGGGCAAGGCATTATGTTAAACAATTGTTAATTAAAAGGATTGATACCTATCCTGAGGGCTAGGAGGGATCCAGAAGGTGTCAGGTACACCCAGGAGCAATTGTTTGGCCTTCAGAAGTGAGTTATGCACTGTTGGACATTGCAGGCAGGATATTTATTTAGAGAAACGACTACCACAGGAAAATAATGAATTCTGAAGACATCTTAACTTAAGATGGTTTAGGTTAGATGCTTCACTGTACTTTTTTGTAACTATTAACTGCTCCTGGCACAATGGATTTTTCTTGCTGTGAGCTCACACTAAGGGTAATACACAGATCCATGGAACTGGTCATGTAATTAACCAGTGACTTCACATCTGACATTTAGCTGGCACCCCCTCCTCTTTCATGAAGTTTATAGAGCACTCTTATTGTACTACAAGCAGAGAAGGTTTATTTATAGTAGAAATTAGGCCAACATCATTAGGACTAGTCTTCAGTAAAGAAGGGTTCTATGTGGTTGTCTTTTTACACACTGTGACACTTTGTGATGACCTTCTCGACAAGGATTTTGATAATGCTCATGTCTTTCACAGATAACAGAGTACAAGACGATGATGATAGAGTTTATGAAGAGGTAAGATGGAATGTCATTGCAGGTTTGGTTCACATTAAACTCAGAGCTGTATTGATAATCTGTTTATGTCTTGGGAATGTTTATAAAATACAAAGTTCTTTTTTTCCAGAAAAGGCTGGAGAAACCCTCAAAATCCCCAAATTGAGAAAAGTATAAAGAATACATACAAAATGGTGTATATTTAGATTTTGTTTTGTTGTTTGTGCCATCATTCAATTCCGACTCCTAGCGCCCCCATGCACAGCAGAGCGGAACCCTGCCCTGTCTGTCTGCGTCATCTTCTCACCTTCCAGCACTGCCTCAGACAATGCTCTGCTGCTAATCATAGGGTTTTCATGGCTGTTTTTCTGAGGTAGGTGGCCAGGTCCTTCTTCTTAGTCTGTCTAGTCTGGAAGCTCTGCTGAAACCTGTCCACCATGAGTGACCCTGCTGGTGCTTGAAATACTGGTGGCAGAGCTTTCAGCATCACAGCAACATAGAGCTGGCACAGTATGACAAGTGACAGCTGGGTGGTGTGGTTCCCTGACCAGCACAGGTACCTGGGCCATAGCAAGAGCACCGGATCTTAACCACTAGACCACCAGGGCTGGCTATATTTAGATACATACTAATATCTATGTTCAGATTATATACTAATATTTATCTTTTGTATAAATATGAAAATATGGTTAATACAAAGAAGAAAATGAGTATTCCTTAGAATTTCCCCACCCAGGGATATGGAATGATAACATTGCATGAAAACATCACATGCCCACTAAATATGCTTGACATCGTCCTGTGTGTGCTGATTTTTGAGGTTCACATAACAGGGACGTTGACAGGCTCTAGATCATTTAGACCTGCACTGTTCGAAGTGGTAGCCATTAGCCATCTGTGGCTATTTGAACTTGAATTTAAATTCATTAAAATAAAGTAAATAAAAAATTCAGTTCCTCAGCTGTACTAGCCACATTTCAAGTGTTCCTTAGTAACCTCTGGGTTGGATGGCCCCGATATGGAACATTTCCATCATTGCAAAAGATTCCATCAGACAGCACTGGTTGAGAAGGCAGTTTGAAAAAAGGCTTAGTCACAGATAACACCCACTCGCTGAGTGGTTTGTTGGTTTTTCCTATTACAGAACCTCTGCTCATTATCATTAGTACAAGTCTTAGGGATGCAGAAAATCAGTTCATAAGCAATGACAATGACATTATGTGATTCCACGAAATTCTAATTTGTGGAGTGGAAAAAAAAAAATTTGGTTAGTACTTCTCTTGTCAGTTTGTCTTAGTGGTTTTCTGTTCAATGCTTGTTAACAAAGAGTGGAAGAAAACATCAGCAATTCTTTTAAATGTCCATCAAAAATGGTGGGATATTCTATCTGAGCTGAGGAGGGAGAAGTGGGGTTTAAGAAACACATTTCCTCATTGGGAAGTGGAGGGTAGGAGATGGGCAGTGGCTGAGCGTGGCTGGACGCCAGGCTGTAGGGTCTCCATGTGGCACACAGTTCAGCCAGATTCCTGAACCTGCCCTATGTGGAGACCCCTAGGGCTTTTATATTACAAAGTTTTCATCCCAGATGAGTTGAATTTTGATTCATTTCTCTGTTACTTGGGGTACATTTTCAAGCAATTTTTTCCAAAAGGGTATTTGAGTGTCATATTCTCTGAGTCCTTATTTATTCAATAACATCCGTTTCTTCCTCACACCAGGAAGTGTGAGGAAGTTTAAGTGAGAACACTATTCTCTTTCCTTCACAAGCCTGAGGACATTTTCCATCCATATTTGGTAACTGAAATGCTATGACTGTCATCATTCAGGATCCAAATTTGACCAAATGTTTTCATCAAACTCTAGTTTTCTTTAAATAATTCCAAAGCACAAAAGGAAAAGTTATGAATAATTTTTAGTCGAAAAGGAAATAATTAATTTTCTTTATTATCCTCCCTAATTTTCTAAATACATGTGTTTTGGTGAAGTGAGTTGTAAAGTAAGTCCAGATTTCCTGTTTCTGTCTAAGATAGTATTGGAAATGTGGTTTCCTAGTAAAGAAAATAAATGCCTCACTGATGAGCATGGAACTTTTGCTCACGTGTTCAGGTGTCCTTGGCATGCTCTGCTTTGTGAGGCACCAGCAGCAGGAGCGGCCATTTGTTTTCTTAAGAAGTGGTGCTGGGTGTCTGCGAGGCTGATGCGGCCCAGGGATGGCATCTTTGACATCAGTTAGATCTGCGTTAAGATTCAGGATCTGCCAGTCACTACCCCTGTGAACTTGTGCAAATTATTAATCTCTATAAACTCCAGAGTCTACAAATTAGAGATAAAACTAGTAAGGAACTCATGGGTTGGGGTAATTAAATGAGAATTTTCACAGAGCACTGAGCACAGTGTCTGATATATAATCAACACTGAGTGTTGTAAGGTAATATTCAGCAGGCAGGCTGTCAATTAAGTGGTTCTAAGGACCCTCTTGTCTAGGAAACAGGGATCAGGAAGGGGTGAGTATTGGCATGTGAAGATCAAAGATCCCCTAGATGTTGTTGGGATGTGATTGTCCCTGTGACTGCTCAGTCCTGGAGCCTCAATTTCTCTGTGAAATGGGGGAGGTATGACCGTTCCTGACTCACAGGGTTATCATGAGGACTCGGTGAGTTCATGCATATGAGCATCTAGTACTGAGTGCTTGTGCGTTGTGAGAACTCAGTAAATACAAATAATCATTATTGTTGTTATTCTTAGGTGTTCATTGTTTCTAGAGGAGTAGGATGGGGTCTCAGAATCACATGGGCTATTTTTTAAAATCTAGATGCCAAAGACCTACACTTAGGGTACAAAATCAGATTCTTCAGGAAGGTGTGTGTGTATGTTTCTGACCGAGACAGGCAGACAGAGACAGAGAGACAACGCACTGTTAAGTGATTCTATACATAGTGCCTTCATCCTCCAATTTGTTGAAAATTTCTCCTCTAGGTATGATTCTAAATACAGGCTGTAGAAGCTTTGCCTTCATCAACTGTTTTGTTTCATGTTACTGTTATCTGATGTGGATGACTTTGTCACAGATGGCCCTTCCATCATGCAAGTTGACAGTCTTTCTCCCAGACATCACCTCACATGAGTTTCCTTTCTGCTAGGTCAATCGTTTGAGCCTCACACTTGGGGACCTCCTGCAGGATCCTGGGTCTCAGTTCTTGCCTGGAGCTCCCCCTCTTGTGGAGTCCTTCAAAACAGAGATCAAGAAATCAGAGGACCCTGGGGCCTCCCTGTCTTCAGAGGAGGAGAGTGCTGGGGTGGAGAACGTAAGGAGTCAGACCTACGTGAAAGAGCTCTTGGAGAGGCCCCAGGTCGACGGGTTTGGGGAGTTCCAACGCCAGATTCCAGGGGCCTGGAAGGAGGACCGGCGCCTCGAAGCAGGAGCTCAGGAACGCTCAGGCGAAGGCCTGGAACTGGAAGTCCAACCTTCTGAGGAGTCCGGCTACATTGTGACGGAGACCGAGTGAGTAGGGGCTTCGGCTTTTCCCTCCTGGTGGCTGAGGTCCATAAGCCTCACTGGAGTGAGGAAATGCTGTTACTTTTGCCTGTGTTCACCTGGGGACATGAGGGAAGACATCCCTGCTATTGCAGGTGTCGGGGGCAGCCAGGAGCCAGCCCGGGCCTCTCAGCCAGTGTCCTGAACTGGGAAACTGAGTGTGAGGACAATTCTCCACAAAACATCCCAAACCAAGCCCTTCCTAGCTCCTGGGTCCTGGCCTCGCCGCTGCTGGTCAGACCATGGGGCATGCTGAAGCAGGCCTGTTTTCGGGGTTGGGGGAGGCGGTAGGGGCTGGAGGAGCAAAGCCTGGGCGGGCTCTGGGGTTCCCAGGAGGAGTAGGTGGGACGTGGGTCTGCACTGAATGCTGGCTCTGTGCCTGTTAAAACTCCAAAGCTGTGTCTATTTCTCACCGAAGTGGTCCAGGTATCAGGATGGGAGTCATCCTTCAGAGGGAAGAGCATGCCTCACAGCAGCAGAGTATGCTGTCCTCACTCTCACTGTGATCTGAATGTGACAAGGGGCAGAATTCAAACAGCACGTACCTGGCAGGCGACAAGCGGGAGGCCCCATTGTTCAGGTCATCTCACTAATGAATCTGACATTACAAAGCACCATGCTTTGTAAAAATGTTGTGTTTTCTTCGAGTAATGGAATTGGTGTTTCCAAAGGAAAAACATATCTGGCTGGCTGCACAGACACATGTGCGTGTGTGTGGCAGCTGTGTGTACACCCATATCTGTATATAATTTTGCTCTTGCGTTGTATTGCACACTTGTTCAGGTGTTTCTTCATTAATTCAGAAGTCGATCGTCTTTCGGTGATCACAGTGGGGAAGGGGCTGCGTCAAAGCCAGAATCGATCTCTCCTGCTGATTCTGCAGAGTTCACACCTCCTGACAAAATTCAATCCACAGCGTGTGCAAGTTGTTGCTACACTGCAAATAGCAAATTTCATTAGTGAGAAGTAGTTGCATACCACAGTCGGGCAGAAAATATTTGATTTTGAGCTCAAACTACAGACCATCTGTTAAAATCAGATTGAAATTTAAGACTCCTTTCAGCTGTAGAGGATATTCTCACCTGTGTCTTTAGAGAAATCCTCAGCAGCAGACACTTGAAGCTTGCACCAAATATTGACTCAGTTTCCTCGAGGACTTTTTTTTTTTTAATATTTTATTTTTCCTTTTTCTCCCAAAGCCCCCCAGTACATAGTTGTATATTTTTAGCTGTGGGTCCTTCTAGTTGTGGCATGTGGGATGCCGCCTCAGCCTGGCTTGGTGAGTGGTGCCATGTCTGTGCCCAGGATCCGAACTAGTGAAACGCTGGGCCACCGAAGCAGAGCGCACAAACTTAACCACTTGGCCACGGGGCCAGCCCCTCGAGGTCCTCTTTTTGAGATGTGTCTGCCCCTTTCTGACTTCTTCACCTAGATGGTGTGCTCCATGTGTTTGTCTCTGACCTCATGGTCCTTTTCTTAGAATTGGAACTCCTAGTGGGTATGTGTCTTTAGAATCATGCCTTACAGAGAATGGCAGAGAGGAGCTTGAGCAGTCTGTCCTGCTGAGGGCACAGCTCTGTGCTATTAAAGCGAAGGTGAGATTCGTGATGCAGACCATTGTACCAACCTGTTCCTTACTGTAAATCATCAAAAACGCTGTGTTGTGGATTTTTCCCTTCCTTGGGAAACATTGCTATGCTGTGTGTGTGTATGTGTGTTTATATGTGTGTTGTGCATATACGTGTTGTGTATGTGTGTTATATGTATGTGGGCATGCGTGTATGTATGTTGTGTGAATGCATGTGTTGTATTGTAGTCTGCATGTATCTCTGTAATATCTGTGTATATGCCTGCATGTGTATATGTGTTCATGTGCATATGTGTCCACATGTATATGTGTGTTATATGTGTTCATGTGTTGTATGCGTATATGTCTGCGTGTGTATATGTGTTCAAGTGTATGTATGTGAATGTGTGCCTGAGCGAACATCTGCACGTGTATGTGTGTTCGTGTGTATGTTTTCATGTATGTGCACACACATGTGTTCATATGCATGCATGTGTGTGCATGTGTATATGTCTGAACATGTGTGTATGCATGTGCATGTGTGTATATGTATGCGTATGTGGGTATATGTATGTGAGTTTGTGTGTGTGTGTGTGTGTGTGATTACCCATGGTTCCTGCACTGCACAGCTCCTTTGGAGCCTTCTTTCTCCCTCCAGGATGTCATTGTCATCATGTCCCGATACCCAAGGGCTTGTTCCAGCATGAGGCAAGGGCGCTTGTAGGGAGATGCTGGCTGCTCCCTCTTCTGGGATCCTGGGGCTCAGCTGCAACACCAGGAGGATGAGCACCTCCATGGAAGTGCTGGGAAGAGAATTCTGCTCATTCGAAAGACTCATGTGAAGGCACCTTGTGCTGATGGGGGCAGCCGAGGATGGTGCAGTTTGTCTGGGAACCTCGAGGGCAGGACACTCCATATTGACCATTCTCTGCATTGGGGCCCATCTGTGGAGGAAACTGACCGTTTGTTGTGAGTGGTCGAGGAGAGACTGTCCACTTGGACATCTCCTCGTGCTCTGGTTAACTTCCCAGGAGAGAAGGAAGCCATTACCAGGGTGGGTGTTCTTTGCGTTCAGAGTTTGTTTTCCTGTGGAGCTTCCTGGCCGTCCTCTGGGACATGAGCTACTCCCTGTTGCAGTGAAGCTTACAGAATATCATTATCTTATCTTAGTGGCTTTCCCTTACTTTTCTCTTGCTGCTTCAATTGGATGAAAGATATATGGTGCAGATAATACAGCTTTATGTCAATAATTCTCACTGTTTGTCACAAGGCATAATGCACTAGAAGATAGATTGAGGTTTCTGCTTCTGTTGTCAGATTAATTGGTAATTTGGCATTCTCTGGGGCAAGTTTTCACCCGGTCTCAGCTTAAACCTTAATAGATCAGCTATTAATTGACAAGAATTCAATGCCATTCTTTAATAAAGAAAGATTTTTGTATATTTGGCTGTCCAATAAAAAGGCAAAGGAATGTGACTTGTAAGTCAGTGTTGTCATCGACGTGCGTTCTCTCTGTTGACGTTTAGGTGGGTGAGTAACAGGGCTTAGCTTTGCCAGCTCCACTGTCTCTTCTCCATTTTCTGATGGACAGGGTGTAGTTTAATCCTTCACCGTTTACATTTTCCTCCTCTTTACAAACTAGACAGATTATTCAAGACTGGATGAAGCATAGGACGGCCATCCCTGGTCCTCTAAGGATGATTTAAAAATGATTTCAAGGTAGGTTGACAGGAAGAGATCACAGGATGGAAGGGGAATTTGAAGCAAAAGGGGTTGTTTACCTCTCAGCAAAGAAGAAACTGCCATTTACGTCTGGTAAAGAAATACTCGAGGGACATGTGGCTGGACTGGTATGCCTCTCTTAACAAAAGAACTCCTGTGTTTGGGATGTGTTCCTGGGGATGGATCACCTGAGCCGACGAGAGGGACTCTGGAGAGGTAACCATGGTCATAAGCATGTGGAGGCCGAGAAGCAGAAGTGCAGCGAGTCTTGGATCTGATGCTGGCCACAAGCAGAGTCACATGGGATCCTCTGCCGCCATTGGGACAGGGCTGTCCCCACAGGTTGTGGGTGGCTGTGGACAAGGATGTAGGATGCATGGGTTGTTAGGAGCCCAGCAGTCCCTCGCTGGAAGCACTGGAACACCTGCCGATGGGTAAAGCGTTGATCTCCTTCTGATCTTTGCAGCCTTGGGTGGGTGAGGACAGCCCATTGGGAGGCCATCGGTCAGGGTGGGGATCCCATGCCAGTCCTGTGTCTTAGGCAGTTACTTTTCTCCCCGGGCTTGATTTCCTGTCTCTAAAGGGGCAGTGATGATAGTGTGTACCTTGAGGGGCTGTCAGGAAGAGCAAATGTGATGCAGGAAGAATGATAGCTGGGACACAGTTCAGTAAATAAATATTAGCCCAAGAGCAATAACCAAAGAGCACACAGCTCCTCCTGAAAGAGACGAGGAGTAAATGACCTTCCTCAGGGGAAGTCAGGGGACAAAGCTAGGGCAGGGGGGCACTGAGGTTTCAAGGTGAGGGTCGCTGGAAGTAGAGATGGGACAGCTTTGCTACCATCTCTGTGCCGCCTCTGATGCTGATCCACACATTCTGAAAAAAGACAGGTTGGGTGTCAATTTTCCTCCTTCAGTTTTTTCTTATGACAAAACTTCCTTTCCCCTTGGGTAAGCCAGTCAGTGAAACTACAGATGCCCTTTTACTCTCCTGATTAACATGCTCACTGGAGTGTGACCTGCCTCCCAAGCAGCTGTGAGGGCTCCCCTTCCAGTGGCACCACGCTTGGGAGTCAGTCAGAACGTCTGCTTAAGGAGATACGACCAGACTCAGCCTGAGCACGGCTCTACCTCCCTCCAGTGAAGAAGTTCAAGTTTTCGGGAATCAAAAGTCCAGAAGGGAGTTCAGAAGTAGAGTTCTCTGTTTGCCAAGGCCTCAGCAAGTAGGTACCAGGCCCAGAGCTTTGTGTGCCAGTAAGACCTGGCCTCTTCTGAGGACAGACCACCCTTCTCCTTCCTCTCGAAACTTCCTTCTGGGCCATCCAGGGGGTTGAGAATCAGGTGGCTGGAGCCTTTGGAGGTGGAGATTGCCCACACTCTTCCTGTCGCTCATTCTAAAGTGTAAGAACCCGTCTGCTCTGGAGTGACTTGCCTGTCTCCCCCGGGAGCCAGTGTGGCAGAAGAGGAAGGGGTGCCGTCCAACCTTAGCTCTCCCACCGCCTTCCGGAGACCCCGGCTGCCCCCTCAGCCCTCTGACCTTGGCAGGGGAGCCCCACCTCCCAGTGGTTGCTGGCAGACGGGCAGGGATGGGAGTGAGCCATCATGACACAGAAAAGGAGTGTGGGCCAGTGTGATGCACGATCTTTCCCACTTTTTCCTTCCTTTCAGAGAAAGGAAAT